CTTCCGCGGCCGGGTGGGGCCATCTGGGCGCGCCCCCGCCGCTTTCGAAACAAACACGCCGCGGCGGGCGCTCGCGGGGTTCACGGCCGGGCTGAGCCGGCCCGGGGCGGCTCCGGAAACTGGAAACTGCCAGGAGGACGCCACCCCGAACACCGGTCTCTAGAGCCGCACGGCGGGAGCGACCCTGGGCGCCCCGAGTTCGGGTGGGGGTCGCTGTCTTCGCCCGGGTTCTCCTGTGCCAGGCTGGCCTCTTGGCTCCAATTCCGATTGTCCCGGGCCGGTGCAGAGTGAAATTCACGTTCCGGGAGCGAGTGTCGGGAGCGGAGGCGGTGGGGTGTGAGAAGGCTGGGCCCAGGGCTTACAGGATAGCCAGTAACTCGCGAGGCTGGCCGAACCGTGGAATCGCGAGGGGAGGTCGCTGAAAATCCAGAGGGGCGTGCTACACCCTAGAGGAGTTAAACAAGAATCTCTGGGGCTGGAGCCCAGTGTTAGGATTGAAGTCGGCCACTTGCAAACCGGTTTGAGAAACCACAGATCTTAGGTACGCTGGTCAAAGTAAAGATCCATCCAGCTGAGCGGGCCTGGCCCTATCAAAAACACCGAGAGACGCTGGTGGAAAACTGGGTTACTTGTCTTCACGGAAACAAACCCGAGAATGTGTATCCCTCCAACAGTCGGCCTGGGTCTGGGTAGCAGAATCCTAGGTTAGGTTTTCTGTTCCCTGCAAAGCTCTCTTGGTTAGCATCTTCAGCCCCTCACTTGGAATAACGCCTTCTTCATTGGACCAGCCAGAGAGTTTTTGTGACCTCCATCGCCATGTTCTTTCCGCATGGTCTCTGCCAAACACCTTTTTACTGGTTAGTAGGGACTTCAGAAAGAGGAAACAGTTTTCAACAATGGCATTTTCTGACTCATGCTTGGAGAACCCTGTGCTGCCTAAGACAGGAATCCTTCCCACAGGGTTTCCAGAAAGGAAGTCCTCTAGGGGTTCATAGCGTCCTGCCTCGTCAAACGTGCTAGAATTTACAAGTGCAGGGAGGAGACAGCTTTAGAGACCATTCAGTGTGACTCTGTTTGATACTGAAATTCCTTACTCCTGCTCTCATGGTGGATATGTCAGGGCCGGCCGTGCTTCAGAAGCCGCGCTAGTTCTTTGTTTATTCCTCTCAGGCCTCCCTTACCTTAACCACCATCTTCAGTGTCATTTTACACAGGTCTTGGTGTCCGCCTGGACTCAGAACTGATGTGAAAAGCAAGGTGGTATCGTGGAAATCGCTGAAGGTCAGTACCAGGCAGGGAGCTTCCCGAAGCTGGCACCGAGGACTGCCGAGTGGAACGAGTGAAGTGGAGACCGTGGCTTTTATCGAGATCAAACAATGAGCTCAGCAGAGTGTTACGCAGCTTAGCTATGCCAGATGGTCTAACGCTTCACCTTCCAAAATACTTAGTTTAAATATATATATATATGTATATAAATACCTTTTTTTAAAAAAAGGAACTTAAAGAAGAAATAACGGAATACTCTTAAGTAATACTTGTAACTGCCCAAATAATTTCAATGTTCTGAGGAGAAAGAAAGGAAATCCAGTTGCATTTACTCAGAAAACAGATCTATTCTAAAGGTTATTACGAAAAATCAAATCTGCAGGTTTATAACATGTTATTTTGGCTGGTGGCCGCCACTTAGTGGGTTTCGATCCCTTCGTACACAGGCCGTGCCACTAGCACAGCTCCAGGATGTGGAGAGGCCTGCCCACACTTTGCAGATGAGGAAATAGCCTGAGAGACTTTCTTTCTTCTTTCTCTAACCAAAATCGGTGCAGTTAACAAATGACCAGGCCAGAATCCAAACAACCTAGTTTGATTCTCAAGCTTGGAAGCCTCCCCTGTCATGCTACATTTTTTTTGTGTTGGCATCAATCAGCAAAGATCTCTTCTACTTAGAGGAGACTGAGATGGGTATTGGGGAGGGGGACTCGGGAACCTGGGGCTTCTCATGTAAGCAGAAGCTCCCAGTCTTCCTATCTGAGATACTGAAACCCAGGAATAGATTCCCGAGAGACTCCTCTACCCGTCAGTGTCTTACAGTCACATTGACTTAAAATCTCTATGGCGCTTTCGAGTCCCAAAATAAACTTATGGAACAAGGTAAAATAGAAAGTATGATCTGTGATTTTGGCGGAACAAGAGAACACATTTCTCAACCTCATCCCAGCGACTGAATCAAAGACAGTTTAATCAACCGGGGAGCCCACGAAGGTGTCAATATTTGTGTTCAAGGATCCTTAACCTAGTAGAGAGGTTTTCTGTGATAAACACAGAAAGTGCCACAGCGAAAGGGGCGGGGGCTCAGGGAGGAGCATGGCCTGCTGGCTGGCGGGGGATAAGGCAAAGAGCATGGGGAGAGGGAGATAAGGGCTGTCTGAGCAAAGGTCGCCACCACCAGGAGGAGAGGCCCCTCGATTCTAGGGGAAGACAGGGATTTGGCTGAGCGGGGAGTAGAGGACGCTCACTTGGACTGGGGAAGAAGAGTCTGAGACACAGGACAGAAGGAGGCTTGAGAAGCCCTCTGCCCAGGTCTGCAGCCAGAAGTCATCAAGTTCTGTACATGGTGCTGGTATGGGAACGGCAGTGGAAGACAAGACTCAGTTTAGCTGGCTATACAGTAATGAGGTAGTTAAGGTCAGGGGACAGACATTGCTTTAGTTTATATAGATAGATAGATAGATAGATAGATAGATAGATAGATAGATAGATAGATATTTGAAACTGTGGCCCTTGCACTGAGCTACCCTAGGCCATTTATTTATTTTTGGTTTTTTGAGACAGGGTCTCAATATGTAGCCCAGGCTGGCCTCAAACTCAAGGTGATCCTCTTGCCTCAGCCTCCCGAGTGCTGGGATTACAGGTGTGCGCCACCATGCTCACCCATGGCATTCTTTAAGTTTCGGTGAGTCTTGCTAAGTTGCTAAATTGCCCAGGCTGAGCCTAAACTTGCAATCCTCCTGCCCCATTCTCCCAGAGTGTGGGATTGCAGATGTGTGCCATTATCTGACTAATTTTAATTTTTAAGGTAGGCTTTGGGGTGGGAGTGTAGCTCATTGCCTAACATGTAAGTCTCTGGGTTTGATCCCCAGCACTACTAAACAAACAAATCTAACATTAAGGGAGCAGTCCTGTTACTCTTAAAACACAGATGAAACGGGCACAGTTACCATGCACCTTTGGTTTTCATTCCTGCTTTGAAGAAAAAAGTTTCAAAAGAAAAACCAGGTAAGAAACAAAATTTCGTGACTGATAGGAACCAAAAACAAACTTTCAATGACTCGAAAGTCTAAGTCTGTGAGCTGAGGGTTCTGTGAAAGAACTGTCCCTTCCCAAGTCGGAAGGACATTTGGCGGAGAAGTAACACATTTGGCCTCATCCTGGCTGAGTGTGCATGGCCTCAGGGGCATGTCTCGTGGAGACGCATGGAAAAGCAAGTTTGAGCAAGATCTTGCAGAACTGTGGGTGGTGAAGTGGCTAAAGGAGAGGAGAGGTAACCAAGGAGAGAGACACCCGAGGGAGAGCCCTGGGAAGCCCCACGTTCGAGAGTATAAAGGGTCAAGGAAAAGACAGTAAAAAAGAGGTTTAATGCAACTTCCCAGAAGCTCAGAATACTAAGCTCTGAGCCAAATACCTTTCTTGTTGGTGAGGCTGCTGGTATTTAAGGCAATTACAAGCCCCAGATCACAAGATCGGGGAAGGCTGAGCTAGGGCCTGGGGTTCTCAGGTCTCTGTAGGGTTGCTCTGCCCTGCTCTTCCAGGAAGTCTCCCTGCTCGTGTCACACCCTTACCTGCTTCTCTGTGACCAACACAGGGTGTCTGCCAGCTCCTCAGCTTTAAGCAGATGTCTGTTTCATATCTGCATTTGTAACAGCCTACCATCATTCCTACATGTATTAAAATGGACAAGAAAACACAGAAACTTTATATTGAGGTATTTGTGTCATGTAGCTGCAAATACAGGCAGTTCTGCTGTGCAGAGTAAGTGTACTTTTGAAAAACAAATGAAAACACACAAGCAGGCCCCTCTTTCTTATTAAAGGGGTTTTATTTACCAAGAACT